AGTATTCTTTTGACAATGTTCTCTTAGTGAAGCTATAAAACTGCCCTTTTCTAGTGGGTGTCTTATTATTATTATTTTTTTTTCCTTTTTGTCTTTTTTTTTCGTGACTGGTAATGGGATCGCAACCCTCGGTGTCGTGTTCTCTTAGTGAAGCTATAAAACTGCCCTTTTCTAGTGGGTGTCTTATTATTATTATTATTTTTTCCTTTTTGTCTTTTTTTTTTCGTGACTGGTAACGGGATCGCAACCCTCGGTGTTGCGCCCGCACCGCGCTCAACCAGTGAGCGGACTGGTCTCTATATGGGATCCGAAACCTCGGCGGGAGCACCACCGCGCTCCCAAGCGCCACACTCTAGTGAGTGCGCCACCGGGCCGGCCCTCTAGTGGGTGTCTTATGATAATGTTGCTTTGCTCTTCTACCTCGGTGGGAGCGCCACCGCACTCCCAAGCGCCACACTCTACTGAGTGCGCCACCGGGCCGGCCCTCTAGTGGGTGTCTTATGATAATGTTGCTTTGCTCTTCTAAGTTTTAACAGATGTAATTAAAAATCCCCTGGGACAAATGAATTCTGCCACATTCTGATCTATGTGGAAACAAATATGCCTACTAAAAAATGCTTTATAGTTTCAACTGCAACTCTTGAATTTACATTTAATGTCAGGTATATCAGTTAGCTATTGCTGTGTAACAAATCACTCTAAAACTCAGTAGCTTGAAACCATTATTTATTGTTACTTATATGTCTTCAGGTCAGCTGGGTTTTGGCTGATCCTGGCTGGGCTCAACTGGGCAGCTTTACTAAGGTGGCAAAGGACAGTTCTGTGTTTTATAGCAGGCCAATGGACTGGCTGGAGTGCCTCTGCTCCTCATGTTTCTTGTTTTCCTGAGACCAGCAAATTATCTAGGGCACATTTTTATTGTGATGATGTGAACAGAAGCACTCAAGACCCAGGATCAGGATGGGCACACTGTCACTTCCATGAAGTAAGCAATGTGGCCACACCCAGAAATCAAAGGGCAGGGAAGGACACTCACCCATGATGAGCATGGCAGTAGTGTGGATGAAGGACACGTGAAGAATTAGAGCCAACAGGTCAACATGCCATACTAGAGTAGGTCATGGAAAATTGGGGGGAAAACTAGGGTAGAGATTGCAATGGTCTGAGCTGTGTGGGTTCAACAGGAGGAAGAAAATAGGGACTAGGACCTGTTAGGTAGAAGAAATGGGCATGTTTGGGAGAGAAGTGTTGAATCTTTTTCTAGGCAAAAAGGGGTGAAAGATATAGGTGAGGGACATTAGAGGGTTGACGCGCTATGGAATCCAGTGAGGAAAAGAGCAGTGTGGTAGGGTGCAGGGAGAGGGGGAGGCAAACAAGGCTTTAAGAACGTGTAGGTGGAGGGTCTCTGTACAGAAGACTTATTTTAGTTAACTAAAACCTGACAAATAATTGTTATTAACTGAACTTGTATATTTCCAAATTACGCAGTAGTCTGAAATAGAATCTAAGAGAATGAAGTGTTTCTGCACTGGATTCGGGTTTGACTTGAAGACAACAGCCATTTTCTTAGAAATGGAGTGTATTTTAAAATAGTAAAGTTAAAGGAAAAAAGGCGAATGTATATGGTTACTTTGTGGAATTTTGGTATCCTAAATCACATATAATTATAGTAGTTTGGGCAGAGAAGCCATAATTACCATTTTTAAAAAATCACTCTCAGTTAATTTTGTGCTTTTCATTCAAATTGGTGCTTTAATCAAGGTGATGATCCTTACATCTTTAAATAAGAAATATTTCTGAGTAAATTCAATATTTGTAAGTATATGAATTTCCCACATGATGTGCTACCTACTGGGTACTTAAGTACAATTAGTTCTTAATTTCTTCCCCTTGTGGATGTGAATTTAGGTGAGGAACCTCTTCTGCTTCTTCTGGGTCAAGTGGATGTGAATTTAGGTGAGGAACCTCTTCTGCTTCTTCTGGGTCAAGTAGAACCATGTACATTTGCCTTTTTTCCTTTAACTTTACTATTTTAAAATACACTCCATTTCTCAGAAAATAGCTGTTGTCTTTCAGTCAAATTGCATGCTCAGCACGGTGGCCATTACAGTGGAGATAAATTACCTCATTAGTAGAACGCACCTTTCCTCAAGGGGACTAATCCTGAGACTTATATTTTTGATATATTCTGAGAAAATCTCTTTAGACTACTGGATATTCTTTCTTTCTTGCTACTACGATTTATATCCTTAAAAAAAAATAGTTTGATATGCTTCTACAGGTGTGAGCATGTGATTCTCTGGTCTGTGTTTAGCAGATAATTTCTCTTTCTTTTATCCAGGAACTTTGAGCTATCATACTTTTTCATGAAAGAAAGTTTATTGAATGTGTACATTAGTCATGTTTAAAACAGAAGTCTTGATATGGCTAAGAAGATTGGCCTTGGAACTGTCATTTTGTCAATCCAACACTTTGCCTCATTACATTTTTTGTTGTCGATTTCCATCCTCTTTCTCTACAGGCTGGGAAATGATGATACCCATTTTGAAGTTCGCATGGCCCATGATGGATGTGAAGTGCACCGTTTTGATCCTAGTGTTAAATCAGCGCACAGTCTGGAGAGTCAGCGTCTTTGGTATCACCGCTTGTCCATCGACTGGCGANTTCACATTGTTTACTGTAGAAGGTTTATATAGAAATTATATTTAATGAGTATTCTTTTGACAGTGTTCTCTTAGTGAAGCTATAAAACTGCCCTTTTCTAGTGGGTGTCTTATTATTATTATTTTTTTTTCCTTTTTGTCTTTTTTTTTCGTGACTGGTAATGGGATCGCAACCCTCGGTGTCGCACCCGTACCGCGACCGGCAACGGGATCGCAACCCTCGGTGTTGCGCCCGCACCGCGCTCAACCAGTGAGCGGACTGGTCTCTATATGGGATCCGAAACCTCGGCGGGAGCACCACCGCGCTCCCAAGCGCCACACTCTAGTGAGTGCGCCACCGGGCCGGCCCTCTAGTGGGTGTCTTATGATAATGTTGCTTTGCTCTTCTAAGTTTTAACAGATGTAATTAAAAATCCCCTGGGACAAATGAATTCTGCCACATTCTGATCTATGTGGAAACAAATATGCCTACTAAAAAATGCTTTATAGTTTCAACTGCAACTCTTGAATTTACATTTAATGTCAGGTATATCAGTTAGCTATTGCTGTGTAACAAATCACTCTAAAACTCAGTAGCTTGAAACCATTATTTATTGTTACTTATATGTCTTCAGGTCAGCTGGGTTTTGGCTGATCCTGGCTGGGCTCAACTGGGCAGCTTTACTAAGGTGGCAAAGGACAGTTCTGTGTTTTATAGCAGGCCAATGGACTGGCTGGAGTGCCTCTGCTCCTCATGTTTCTTGTTTTCCTGAGACCAGCAAATTATCTAGGGCACATTTTTATTGTGATGATGTGAACAGAAGCACTCAAGACCCAGGATCAGGATGGGCACACTGTCACTTCCATGAAGTAAGCAATGTGGCCACACCCAGAAATCAAAGGGCAGGGAAGGACACTCACCCATGATGAGCATGGCAGTAGTGTGGATGAAGGACACGTGAAGAATTAGAGCCAACAGGTCAACATGCCATACTAGAGTAGGTCATGGAAAATTGGGGGGAAAACTAGGGTAGAGATTGCAATGGTCTGAGCTGTGTGGGTTCAACAGGAGGAAGAAAATAGGGACTAGGACCTGTTAGGTAGAAGAAATGGGCATGTTTGGGAGAGAAGTGTTGAATCTTTTTCTAGGCAAAAAGGGGTGAAAGATATAGGTGAGGGACATTAGAGGGTTGACGCGCTATGGAATCCAGTGAGGAAAAGAGCAGTGTGGTAGGGTGCAGGGAGAGGGGGAGGCAAACAAGGCTTTAAGAACGTGTAGGTGGAGGGTCTCTGTACAGAAGACTTATTTTAGTTAACTAAAACCTGACAAATAATTGTTATTAACTGAACTTGTATATTTCCAAATTACGCAGTAGTCTGAAATAGAATCTAAGAGAATGAAGTGTTTCTGCACTGGATTCGGGTTTGACTTGAAGACAACAGCCATTTTCTTAGAAATGGAGTGTATTTTAAAATAGTAAAGTTAAAGGAAAAAAGGCGAATGTATATGGTTACTCTGTGGAATTTTGGTATCCTAAATCACATATAATTATAGTAGTTTGGGCAGAGAAGCCATAATTACCATTTTTAAAAAATCACTCTCAGTTAATTTCGTGCTTTTCATTCAAATTGGTGCTTTAATCAAAGTGATGATCCTTACATCTTTAAATAAGAAATATTTCTGAGTAAATTCAATATTTGTAAGTATATGAATTTTCCACATGATGTGCTACCTACTGGGTACTTAAGTACAATTAGTTCTTAATTTCTTCCCCTTGTGGATGTGAATTTAGGTGAGGAACCTCTTCTGCTTCTTCTGGGTCAAGTAGAACCATGTACATTTGCCTTTTTTCCTTTAACTTTACTATTTTAAAATACACTCCATTTCTCAGAAAATAGCTGTTGTCTTTCAGTCAAATTGCATGCTCAGCACGGTGGCCATTACAGTGGAGATAAATTACCTCATTAGTAGAACGCACCTTTCCTCAAGGGGACTAATCCTGAGACTTATATTTTTGATATATTCTGAGAAAATCTCTTTAGACTACTGGATATTCTTTCTTTCTTGCTACTACGATTTATATCCTTAAAAAAAAATAGTTTGATATGCTTCTACAGGTGTGAGCATGTGATTCTCTGGTCTGTGTTTAGCAGATAATTTCTCTTTCTTTTATCCAGGAACTTTGAGCTATCATACTTTTTCATGAAAGAAAATTTATTGAATGTGTACATTAGTCATGTTTAAAACAGAAGTCTTGATATGACTAAGAAGATTGGCCTTGGAACTGTCATTTTGTCAATCCAACACTTTGCCTCATTACATTTTTTGTTGTCGATTTCCATCCTCTTTCTCTACAGGCTGGGAAATGATGATACCCATTTTGAAGTTCGCATGGCCCATGATGGATGTGAAGTGCACCGTTTTGATCCTAGTGTTAAATCAGCGCACAGTCTGGAGAGTCAGCGTCTTTGGTATCACCGCTTGTCCATCGACTGGCGAGATCCCCATCCAGCTGTTGCTGCCCAAAAATCACATAGTAACACCAGAAAACTGGGAAGTATTTTGAATGAATTTGGGCATCACAAGGTGAGACTTTTCATTTGATTTCATAATTAAAGTGAACAAACCCATAAGCTACTTTTTAAAAAAATAAAAAATAAAAACCAAGAATAATAACGTTGACACTGGATAGTTGAAGGTCCAGTTTTAACCTTACCAGTCAATCAACATTATTTATAGAATCAACTTTGCAGACATAAAGTTTTGGCAAGGATAGAAATTTTAAATTGATTTTTAGATTTTAGTTGCTGTTGAGTAATGCTAAGTAAGGCCTTGGCCAAGACTGGATGAGAAGATCTACTTCTGGCATAGGCTGAAGAATACCAATTTCCATTTGGCAATTGATCTAAAATTTCCAGAAAAAGCCATCTACTTATATTGATCTCAAATACAAAAAATAATCAGAGCCAGGTTTATGTTTGATAAGATTGCTTGTGTATCATATTTCTCACTGTTGTCACATATTTCTTATGTTTTTCACTATTTTGAGCCTTTAGGAACTTAAAGTTCAGAAAATAT